TACAAACAATTGAATGCAAAATTCCAGAGAATAGCTGGAAGAGATAAGAATGCCTTCTCAAATGAACAGTGCAAAGAAATAGAAGAAAACAATAGAATAGGGAGGACCAGAGATCTCTTCAAGAAAATTGGAGATATGAAGGGAACATTTCATGCAAAGGTGGGCATGATAAAGGACCAAAATGGCAGGGACCTAACAGAGGCAGAGGAGTTTAAGAAGAGGTGGCAAGATTACACAGAAGAACTATACAAGAAAGAGCTTAATGACCCTGATAACCATGAGGGGGTGGTCTCTGACCTCGAGCCAGACGTCCTGGAGTGTGAAGTCAAATGGGCCTTAGGAAGTCTGAGCAACAACAAAGCTAGTGGAGGTGACAGTATTCCAGTTGAGCTATTCAAAATCCTAAAAGACGATGCAGTAAAAGTGCTACACACAATGTGCCAGCAAATTTGGAAAACTCAACAGTGGCCACAGGATTGGAAAAGGTCAGTTTACATTCCAATCCCAAAGAAGGGCAATGCCAAAGAATGTTCAAACTACCGCACCATTGCACTCATTTCACATGCCAGCAAAGTTATGCTCAAAATTCTACAAGCTGGGCTCCAGCAGTATGTGGACCGAGAACTACCAGAAGTACAGGCAGGATTTCGAAGAGGGAGAGGAACTAGAGATCAAATTGCCAACATACGCTGGATCATGGAAAAAACTAGGGAGTTCCAAAAAAACATCTACTTCTGCTTCATTGACTATGCTAAAGCCTTTGATTGTGTGGATCACAACAAGTTCTTAAAGAGATGGGAGTACCACACCATCTTATTTGTCTCTTGAGAAACCTATATGCGGGTCAAGAAGCAACAGTGAGAACTGGACACGGAACCACTGATTGGTTCAAAACTGAGAAAGGAGTTCGGCAAGGCTCTATACTGTCACCCTGCATATTTAACTTATATGTAGAGCACATCATGAGAAAGGCAGGGCTAGATGAATCACCAGTTGGAATTAAGATTGCTGGGAGAAATATCAACAACCTCAGATATGCAGATGATACCACTCTCATGGCAGAAAGTGAAGAGGAACTAAAAAGCCTCTTGATGCGGGTGAAGGAGAAGAGCGCAAAAGTTGGCTTGAAACTCAACATTAAGAAAACTAAGATAATGGCATCCGGTCCTCTCACTTCCTGGCAAATAGATGGGGACGAAATGGAGATAGTGACAGATTTTATTTTCCTGGGTTCCAAGATCACTGTAGACGGGGACTGCAGCCAAGAAATTAAAAGACGCTTGCTCCTGGGGAGGAAAGCTATGGAAAATCTAGACAGCATACTAAAAAGCAGAGACATCACCCTGCCAACAAAAGTGTGTATAGTCAAGGTTATGGTTTTCCCAGTTGCAATGTATGGCTGTTAAAGCTGGACCATAAGGAAGGCTGAGCGCAAAAGGATTGAGGCCTTGGACCACAAGGCGATCCAACCGGTCAGTCCTAGAGGAGATCAACCCTGACTGCTCTTTAGAAGGCCAGATACTGAAGATGAAACTCAAATACTTTGGCCACCTAATGAGAAGGAAGGACTCCCTGGAGAAGAGTCTAATGCTGGGAACAATAGATAGCAAAAGAAAAAGGGGATGGCAGAGGATGAGGTGGCTAGATGGAGTCACTGAAGCAGTCGGTATGAGCTTGGGTGGACCATCCGGGAGATGGTGGAGGACAGGAAGGCCTGGAGGAATGTTGTCCATGGGGGTTGCGATGGGTCGGACACGACTTCGCAACTAACAACAACACATCTGCTTTTCCAGTGTTTTATGACATATTTTGGATATACTCCATCCCTTGACTTTAACTGACTGTAAAACAAAAACAAAACCCACACTAAGTGCTGTGTACTAGTACTCTAGCACAGAACCAAGATATCTGAGAAGATGTCCCAGAAGCTGACTTTTATTAATTACCTAGCTGATCATACTAGTACATATCTGGAACTTTTGATATGAATAATACATTGCACCCCTCATAGCTTAAGTACAAATGTAGACACTGACTTGCAACAATAATAGAGCTATGTTAGTAGCCTTGGCGTTTCACTTGTCTGTGCCTAGGATTCAAAGTGCTGTGTGCAGTGCCTGGTGCACATACTAAACCAATTCTCACTGTCACTTGTTTACACAGTGAAAAGCCAGTGCTGATGGTCAGGGACCTCCAGATCTACATGCACTCAAACGTAAAGGGATATGCTCGTTACACAGAAGATTCCTTCTATCCCAGCCTATGACTTGAGCCAATCACTGTATTAAGAAATGCTAGTAGTAGACTGTTCCCCTAGTCTGAAGGTACATTACAAGGTTCGCAAAGCAGGAGATTCAAATTTGTAGTGATCCAAGTGTACAAGAAATACACGCAACTTTTAACATTTAAACAAGAATAATCAGTCTCATTATCTTTCCTATTGGCCAATTTCAGGTTGCTCTGTAGTATGACAGCCTGCAGTATTTATTTTGGAAGAACCTTCTAAAGTCATCTATGAAAAGGAACATGGCCTTGTAAAAGAACACGCAAATCCTGGCAAATCCTGCTGGGCAGGTAGTCTACTCAATAAAGCTAATGCATTACCATGCCAATTCAAAGAATCCATACAAAACTAAGGCTACTATGGAAGAAGAGGAAAGAGGTATTCCCCATATGCCATGATTGGCAACACCATTTCGGTAAAACTCCTGAGGTTCACTGCTGTATATTTTCAGCATGGACAAGAACACACACAAACTATGGTAGCAGCCATTTTAAGTTCATTTTAAATGAACTTTAAAAAAGGCTCCTTTCCAAAACACAGGTGATCTAAAATGGTTCCCATTAAGCTGAATCGACTGTGACTTGAGTCCACACATCACAACCACCACATTGTTGCTGCAACATGCAGAAAGACTTGCTCCCATTGTATGCATGCAACAGGATGATACATTCCACATTACAGTCACCACCTGTGGCAGCTGTCATGAAAAGGGTATTTCAAGCATCCCCCCCACAATCATAACATGCTGGATTTGGTTCAATAATTCTTGCAGAGCTCTACAATTGAAAGGGTTCTGTGCAATGTGAAAGCTGTACTTCACTTGGTCAACATAGAGTTGGTCCTTGATCAACTACCATTTTGCATCTTGATGTCCAAAAACTCACCTAAATATTCATTTAAATGATATCATTAAAGATCAAACTGCTTAAAATGTGCAGAACAAAATCTAGACATTTAAGGGAATGTATTTTTAAGTTACATATAAAAATGAAAAACAAAAACGAGCAAACATTTAGATTTGCAGAAAATGCTCAAGAGTATGATTTTTTTCCACTAAAATCTGTAATCTATTTGAAGGTTAGTGTTGTTTTAAGATAAAGCAGCCTTGAAACAATTCTCTTTTGCAAATTATCTTGCCTCCGAAAACAATTACATAAAAGTGCATTGGTCTCAGAAGTTGTCCCAAATGCATTGCTTGCAACACAATGCATTTTTCAAGTTACTGAAAAAGTTTCTTCATTTTATGAACTCAAATCACAATACAATGTTGCATCACAATTATGATTCTTACCTGCCACCTCTCTACCCCTGAAATAAGAACATAGAAATTGAGGTTTTCGAATGGGAAGTTTCAGAGGAGGTTCAGGCTCTAAACATGTTGGGAGATGTGACCCTGTGAGGAATCTTGTTTGAGGTGGGAATCCATTGGATTTCCTTGGCTCAGCTCCCCAGACTCCAGCCTGCTCGCTCTCTGCCCCTCTGAGCAGCTGCTGTGCAAGCACAGTTCTGCTTCTGCACATGTGATTTGTGGTCTTTCTGTGTTGTACAAGGAAGGGATCCACTAGCATGCCCAAGCATCTGCAGACTTGATCTCAGCTTGGCTTGCTTCCTGGCCAGGGCTGAGCACAGGCAAGAGGACCAGAGAGCACAAGAGCACATCCTCACTCCCCACTGCCACACCCAGATTACCACCACCCAAATAAGTACCAAGGAAAAATAACAAGTTGCTGAATGTTAACCTCCATGTAAGTAACTAAGCAGGATATTTTACAGTAGTATGAGTAATCAATCAGCAAATAAGGGAAGTATCAGCCATGAATTCACAATACCCAAGACCCCCAAAGCCCCTTTGATTTAGTAAACTGATATAGCAGCTTCCCATCACATTAAGATATTCTAACATTACTGTTTGTTGGGAGGGTGTTTAAAGCACACCAAGTTTTTTTTTTTTTAAATCTTATCCAAAAGAAATTCTCCCCATTCCTCTTCATGTTTTAGATATGAAAACAGAAAAGGAGAAACAGAAATTATTCTACAGCAGACTATGAACAGTTGACAGTAGACATGGGAGAAAAGTCAAGATGTCTTCTCTTTCTCATATTGTGGGTCACATCTATGAAAACTTTAATCACTGTCCGACTCTTCCTTGAATTTGGCTCTGATAGCCTGGCCATTTTGAAGAGGCATTTCTTCATAGTCACTCCTGTCCAAACACATATTGGAAAACATCTCAAACATAAGCAACACAAAATTACAGTTCTGGGCAATGAGAGAATACAACATAAGATCTTCTCAAATAATGGGTCTGCAAATAGTATTCTTTAGCTTACATCTGAGGGTTCTCATTTCCTGTTATGCTTTTAAAATCTGATTACATTAGAGAGCTGGTACAGTGAATTTCCTTTAATTTTTTAAAGTACCACACTTCTTTAAAGGCTTCCAAAATAGAAAGCAGAGGTGTGCACTTCAAATTCAACAGCTGGCAAGATATGGTCCTGTTGTTTTAACTTGACTTAGCTATTTCAATTATTTCATTTTTAAAATTTGGCTTTAAGTTTTTAGTGACATTTGACGATGTTTTAATAGGTATCTGTATTTCATGTGCTGTTGTAAACAGCATAGAAAGCTTCAGATACTGGGCAGAATGGAAATAAAATTAAGAATAAGACAAAAGAAGAGGGAATAAAGCAGGGTAACTTGGCCTCATAAAAGGGAAACAAAACAAAAAAAAAAACCCATGAAAGATTATTCCCATATAATCCAGGCAGTTGTGTATCCTCACAGAAGGAGTACAGGCACAGCTTCTTAAGTTGCAATGCCTCAAAGGTAATAAGGAAGCAAAATTGCACTCTTTCTGGCCCTCATAATAGATAAAAGGGTTAGAAAAGGCAGGGATATAATATGCAACCTGCTTTCCAATTTGAGGCTTGGCAGGCAGAATTGCTGCAATGCACTCACACGATCTCTCCTTAAAAACACTTTGCACTTGCAAACCTACACTAAGCAAAGTGCTTGTTTTTACATTCACTTTCTCAGCTACATATTTATTTCACAAGCATGTGATTTCTCCCAAACTCAGATCTCAGGCCACAGGGGTCTCTTGTGGACAGCAAACTTCACTGATACAAAGACAAAAAGGACAAATGAGTCAGTGTGGCACAGTGAAAACAGCACTGGGATTAAGACTGTAGAGAGCAAGGGTTTAAATCTAGGCTCAGCCATGAAGTTCATGGCAAGCCATGGGCTATTCACTTACTTTCAGCCCAGCCTACTTCACTGGGTTTTTGGGAAGGGAAAATGTGATGGTGGGCCATGCACCACTCTTGATTTCCAGAGAGGCAGGGCTTTTTTTTAAAAGAAAAGCAAGCAAGGAGGCTAGATTTACATCACCACGTCCCAACCAACCAACCAACTGCAACCTTATTCAGCTAATTTCCCCCATCACAAAAATCCACCACACCAAGATCACACTACCAAACCAGGAGAAAAATAATTATGTGCAAGTTTATTCATAAGGCACAATTCTATGCATGCTTATAAGGAAAAAAAGACCTAGAACTCTCAGCATTCGCCTGTCTGCACTGCTGGCTGGGAAATGCTGGGAACTGTTAAAACTTTTTCTGCCTAAACATATATAGGAATTGTGCCCTTAAAGATAAAAGCACAACCATTAACTACAACAGCCCTGCTTGCAAATGTATCACCCATTATCAAGGAACTGAAGATAGCTAATACATTGCCCAGATCCATCCTCATTTAGCTATTAAGTTGCCGGATTTCCAGCTATCATTTTAGGTATTCTTCTTTTTTCTTTTTTTTTTACAAATGCTGACCCTTTACTAAAATGTGGCCTAGTATTATTCCCCCCCTTTCCACAAGCATCAGTTTCCCTCTATCTTCCTCTCCTAATGCAACTATCATCAATGGCAGGATTGTTCTTTCCCAGAAGGAAACTAAATGTCTAAATTTAAACATGAAACCCCATCACTTCTTTTTCATACAACACAAGAAAAACAGTATGTGAAGTAAGTGATACTACTGTAAATACTGGGTTGTATCCCACTGTGTACTTCTGTCAGCAGAACAGACACCAAATTTTCCCTTACTTCCCCCATGAGTCCCCTAAATCTGGCTCAGTGGACTCAGGGATTCTTCAGAAGAGATTTGACGAAGTTGCAGGACAGAAAGAGAAATTCCCATTGTTGCTCATATAATGCTGGATCCAGCCCATTACTTACCCATAAATCACATCATCATCTGAATCATTTAGCATGGAGAAGGCAGGATTGTCTTTCAACTGAGACTCTAAAAAGAAGTTGCAGGGAAAAGTTTATTTTAAAAAATACATACCTTCAATGCTGTGGAGATAGTTCATAAAGTATGTCACATTTTTAAAGGTTTTGTAATGCATTCCTGTTTCTCTTCATCGTATCCAAAACCAACACCCCACACAGCTTATTGGACAAAAACAAATGAGGTCCATGCTTGAATATTTCAGAAAGCAATATGAAATCAACTTCTTGCAACAGGATTTTAACTCACCATACAGGGCATTTTTGGATGGAGAATACACAAAGGCTAGTGTGTATAGATAGAAGTTCAATAAGCCATAGAACGATAGGAATTCTGCAGGTAATTACAGTCAAGGATATCATGCAAACAGCCAAATCAAACATTATTCTCCATATTTATGTAGGAGTGATCAGAAACTTGGCCTAAACTCAAAATGAAACATATAAGAAAATAATTTATCATCGGAAAAAAAACATACAATCGTAGAATATTAGAGTTGAAAGGGGCCATGAAGGTCATTGGGTCCAAGCCCCTGCTGTTGCAGGACACCATGTTATACCATCCCACTCAGATGGCTGTCCAGGTTCTTGTTGAATGTCTCTAGTGTGGAAGAGCCCACCACCTCTCTAGGCAGCGAGTTTCACTGTCGTATTGCTCTGACAGTGAGGAAGCTCTTCCTGATGTCCAGCCTGAAATGACGTTAGCTTTCTATTCCCTTCCTAAAGGTAGCTGCACACCTTAAAACACTGCTATGTACAAAGCTGTTCTAACATACTCAGCCATCACCAAGGTCTTTGAAAGCTCCCACCAACATTCGTGCTGCATCTGGTTGAAGTATGAAGAGCACTTTTCTGCAGCTGCACTAAAATTCGACATGCATGGAAGTGGAGAATACAAGTCCTATAGTAATAGGCCACTGACCCCATCTCCATTATATACGGATGTCTACTAGATGAATCTCTCAAATCAGTCTTGCCTCTACATACACGATTTGTCTGAAACAGTTTAACAGAATGTTACATTAGAAGGATATAATTGTGATAATGAGTGGAGAGTTCAGCCACAAAGTTGTCCTGTAGAACCTGGGCTCCAAAACGCAGATAAAGTATAGCAATGCTGCAGATGGGGGGAAAAGAAAGAAAGTTCATTTTGCACCTCTTTTTCACAATAAAGCTCAACTGAATGGAATAATACTAGTGAAAGTAATTAATTTCCCTCATTAAAATCTAGAACACAGGAAAAGCTTGATCCTCAGATCATGGGTACAGTGACAAACCCAGGTTTAGGATGGAAAAGAAGATTGTTGCAACTGTTACAAATCCCAAGGCTTTGTCTCCAATGGTGTGATAAAGTTCTAAGCTTAACAGAAGTGTCCAAAGCAGGGCTGAGGCACATGTGGCCCTCCAGATGCCACTGGATTGCAACTCCCTTTGTTTCTTCCCACCTGCTATGCTGACCAGGACTGACAGGAAGTACAGCCCAACAACATTCGGAGGATCCCATTCCTCACCCCAGGCTAAAGGAGTGTGACAAGGAAGAGGTTTTAGAAATGGGAGGAGCTGGGAAAGGGATGAAAAATGATTGAAGGGGACCTTGGAAAGAAGATTAACTTCACACTTAACAGGTCTTTAAAAAACAAAACCTGACTGGCTGAGGGAAGTTGAGAGTGACAGGCCAACACATCTGGAGGATAGCAGGATGGGAAGGTTGCTGCAATGAGCTGCAGCTTAGTATTTTACACTACAGATGTTTTATTATCATACGTTGCAGTGGAAATTATACTACTGAGAACTTTCTTCTTTGAGGAAGCAGCTTCTTACCTAATGACCAGCACGACAAATGTCAATGCAGTCAAGAATTTCAGCCTGAGATCTGAGAGAAAAGGAGAGCACAGAGTTATCTGAAAGCAGACACAACTAATCACTAGAAGAGCAACTCTACAGCAGTAGTGATAAGCAGAGAGCAGAGCTTACCAACATAGGGCATGTTCCGAAGTTCTGAGCATGCCCTGATTATCAGGAACAGAAGGTACAAAATGTACACAACTGCCACCACAAGGAAGAAGACCTTCATCCCCTGTTACAAAAATATATTAACAAGCGTTACTTATTTATTTTGTTGGCATTACGATTCCATCTCTTCCTCCCCATTTCAACCTTTTTATAGTACATGCAGAGACACCACCTTGGTAAGGATAGACCTTGCCAGAAGAGGATGCAACATTCTGGATCAGCTGTTGATCCAGTGCCAAAGCTACAATCCCCAAAATCCTCAGCCATAATGCCCTGCTGGCTGGGGATGGTGAAAGTTGTAGTCCACATATTTAGACAGTACCAGGTTAGATAAAGCCATCCTATATGTTGCCTTTCAAAGAAAAATCACTTAGTGATTTAAAAAGTAGCAAAGAAAGTGCTGATCAGTTCTGGTCAGTTTTCTGGAAAGTGTACACAAACCTTAAAGAGCCACAGAGAAGAGGAAAACTAGAAATTTTTAATTTTTTAAAATTAGGAAAACTTACAATGTAACAGAAGAAGAAAACAATAAAGGATTATAGAAGATATACTGTTTTGCACTAAGGATATCAGACTGACAGGCCAAGGAAAATATCTGGATTTCCCCCACCAAAAAATCTAGTAGTCCATTCAGGATTTCCCCCAGAACACAAAGTGCTACATAACACAAATTTACCTGAAAGTTAGTTGCATCAATCCCATACTGGTATGTTGGGTCATGAAGTTCATTGACACTAAAAAAAACCCCACCAAGATTATGAATGTAAGGATGTGTAAGACACTATCATAAATCCTATAATACATACACAGAAACTAAAATTTTGATGTTTTGCCTTTTTTGCCTCCAGAACTACACATTTAAAGAATATAATAGATGTAATGCTCATTTAACAAGATAAAAACCAACTGAAACCAAATAAAGTTGTTTGTGAAAAAGAATGAAAGCCATGAAACTCTACAGTGTTATAAATACCAACTAATACTGCTGAAAGCACAATTAATTAGAAATACTGAAGGCAACCGTGCAATAGGTGGGTTCGCACATGATGCTAAGTCATCCTGCAAAGAGGTCCCAGTGGGCTGGTTGTTCACTGAACAATCCAGTCAGCTCCAAATGCATGATCAGGCTCACCATGGCTTGTTCTCCCCCTCAGCCTCCCAGCCGGCTCCAGCACATGTCCCAGTGCTGCTCCTGCAGGAACCTGCCCATTTCCCCCTCCCTGCTCCAACTGCTATTTCATTTTCTTCTTGGCTTTTTTAAAATTTTATTTTTCAGAGTCTCAAAGCAGCACAATCAGTGTTGGTTGAGATCCACCTTTTCAACCTTTCTCTGAGTCTGCAGCCACTCCAAAAAGGGGAGATATAATTCTCCCCTCTCCCACTTCACTCACTCCTTTTGGGGGCACTTATGCAGTTACTGCAATTCTGTAGCAGTTTTTAAAATGCAGGAATAAATGTAAATATAATGACTGGGAAGTAACTAACAAGGAAATTTACACTAATTTAAGGGTTGAGAAGTAAATGGAGGGCAAATGAAGCAGTAACTGTTCAGATAAGGAAGGGGAAGCAAAGTGTTGAAAAAGTGGAAGACACTGAAAACTGCCAGCTCAATACTTAAAATCAAGATTACAGGGCTAAGGAGGTGTACGCAACTTTGTTTATATGCAGTCACCCTTTGACTGCTGAAGCAGAGAGGCAAACTGATCAGGCAAGACTAAGCATATTAGGCAACTGAAAGCACACACCTGTAAAGAACCAATTGTGTGAATTTCAGAGGCCCAAAAATATGACGCTGACTGCAATTTTTTATGCCCCACTCCACTCCAAAAAGTTACCCATGATGGGTTGCTATGCCATGCAACCCAGGACAAGGAAAACAGTGGGCTCCTGTATGTTTCAAGACACATGTTAATGTTTCCAGACACATGTTAAGGGGTGAAGTGATCAACATAGCTAAGAAAATGCTCTTTTAATATCAACAACAACTATGTATTAACACAGCAACCATTTGGGTACTTTATTAGTGAAACAAAGAAGAAAATGGAAACAGAGAAATGGTGAATCTCCTTAAGAGAATAATGTTCAAAGAAAGCATACAGAAAATAAGACTGTAAAGTCTTCTGTTAAAGTATGTTTTTCTTATTCAAAGAAAGAGAGGTCCGCCTGGCGCCGTCGTTATTTGTTTTTCGGCGCCAGGTGAAGACCTTTTTATTTAGGCAGCATTTTAAATGTTAATATTATTGAATTTTATTTGGCCAGGGTGGCTTATTTTATTCTAATGTATATATTTTAATTGTTATTGTTTTAATTTATTGTGTATTTTTTCTATGTTGTGAGCCGCCCCGAGGCTTCGGCAATGGGCGGCATAGAAATGTTTAAATAAATAAATACATACATACATACATACATACATACATAAATGCAAAGAAGGAAGTCACTTACGTCTGCCATATTCCCAAGGTAACGGAAGCCAACCACAGAAGACCAACAATAAGTAGTTTAGGAAAATAGAATGTTAAGCACTTCCTCTCTCCCTAGTTAAAAATACAAATTAAGAAAATTCAGCTTGTTTTCAGATATCAGTTAATTTACAATATTGTGAAATATCAGTTCATTTCAAGAAAAATTCATATTACAGTACTTGGTTTTACCAGTCACAGTCAGCCTACAGTTGGAAAATCTACTGCTCTCCAGGGAGTAGTCGTCAAATTTGTGAAGATTCTCTTGAAGTAGCCACACATACACAAAATATAGATATATACACACATTCTGGAGTATTTCAGGTCCTGCTTATTATCACATTAGTTGATTTTGGCTGATTCTGCTGGCAGTCAGCGTCAGGACAGTAACAGTCTGTTGCATTCCTACTGAATATAAAGTTAGCAACACACAGTTTAAGCGCTTGCTGTTTCAGCTTCGATAGGAAGCTTCCCTTGGGTATTCCTCAGAAAGGCCAAAAGGTAGTGTTTAGTCTCTAAACATGGCACATGCGCACAGGTCAGCAAGCATCTGCTTTTTTCATATTTGGGGGAAAGTTCAATCATTTAAAATGTCAGCATTTGTTGTAACACAAACCACTGCATGTGGTTACTTTTCTCTGTGTTCAGAGAGGGTGCCAAGAAATTAAGTGAGCATTTATTTATCTAATCACTCTGTCTAATCATAGGCTGCCCTTCAATGCAACACTCCCATTGTAAGCATACAATCTGTGACCCGATGATTGATGAAATTTAAGGATGTTTCATTCCAACAGAGCCACATAGTACTATGTGCCTCCTTGGAGCAGAAAAAATGGTCTGAAGCCTGAATGGCTTCGGGCTGGGTCACAGGTGACTGAGAGCAAAGGCAATGATAGAGCCATACAGCCCAATGCTGCCCTTGGACAGAAGACCCAGGTTCTAATCACTGATGAGCCATGAAGCTCATGGGTACTCTTGGACTCCCTGGGAAGGATCCAACAGTGCCTGTGAAAATGGGCTTTCCAAACCAGTGTTAGCGAATGTCATTAACATTGCACAAGCGTAGGTTTACACTAGCAGTGTCGATACCGCTGGATCCTTCCCCTTCCTCTCACCTTCATCTACACAACAGGGTTTCCAGAAGAGTTTTATTTTATTTATTTATTAAGAAAGCTTCTATGCTGCCCCATTCACCGAAGTCTCGGGGCGGCTCACAATAATAAATAAATAAACACAATATAAAAACAGTATAATTTGAGTCGATCTGGCCAATAAATAAATAAATAAATAATATTAACAATTAAAATTACATTTGAATAAAAAGGTCTTCGCCTGGTGCCGAAAAACAAATAACAACGGCGCCAGGCGGACCTCTCTGGGGAGCACATTCCATAGATTGGGTGCCACCGCAGAGAAAGCCCTCCTCCGAGTACTTACCCTCCTAATATCCTTCACGGAGGGTTCCCAGAGAAGGGTTCTCCCGCTGATCTCAAGGGGCAGGAGGGCATATATGGACGTAAGCGCTCCTTCAGGTAACCAGGACCCAAGCCATTAAGGGCTTTATAGGTCATAAGCAACACCTTGAATTGGGCCTGGACTTCAATGGGGAGCCAGTGAAGCTGACGGAGAACTGGAGTCATGTGAACATAACACCCAGTCCCCGTCAGCAGCCTGGCAGCTCTATTTTGAACCAATTGAAGTATCCGGACCATCTTCAAGGGCAGCCCCACGTAGAGCGCATTACAGAAGTCAGGAAGTCACCAATGCGTGTGTCACTGTCACCAGGCAGTCATTCCCCAGGTAGGGATGCAGCTGATGGATCAGCCAAAGCTGAAAGAAAGCGCTCCTCACCACCGATGTCACCTGAGCTTCCAGTGAAAGCTCTGGGTCAAGGAGCACTCCCAAGCTGCGGACCTTGTCCCGAAGAGGCAGTGCAACCCCATTCAAGACTAAGTTCAGGTCCCCTTCCCCAAAGCCCGATCCGCCAACCAACAGGACCTCCGTCTTGTCTGGATTGAGTTTCAGTTTATTGGCCCTCATCCAGCCCATTACCTCGGCCAGGCACCGGTTCAGTACAGCCACTGCCTCACCTGGATTGGTAGACAACGAGAGGTAGAGCTGGGTATCATCAGCATACTGATGATTCCGCAGCCCACACCTCCTGATGACCTCTCCCACTGCAAAGCAGTGCCTCCGACCCCCAATCCCGCTAGCCTATCCAGAAGGATACCATGGTCGATGGTATCGAAAGCTGCTGAGAGGTCCAGGAGAACCAACAGGGATGCACTCCCCCTGTCTTTCTCCCTGCACAGGTCATTGTACCGGGTGACCAAGGCAGATTCAGTACCATACCTGGGTCTGAAGCCGGACTGAAATGGGTCCAGATAATCAGTTTCATCCAAGAGTGCTTGGAGTTGTCCCGCCACCACCCGCTCCAACACCTTGCCCAGAAACGGGATGTTGGCCACCGGTCTATAATTAGCGGCCATCTCTGGATCCAGTGATGCCTTCTTCAGGACCGGTTGGACTACCGCCTCCTTTAAAGGGGCAGGTACCCGGCCCTCCCTCAGAGAAGCGTTAACCACTTCCAAGATCCAGGTCCCAATCCCATGCTTGGCATTGTTAATTAGCAAAGATGGACAAGGGTCCAATAGGCAGGTGGTGGGACGTACTCGTCCAAGCACCTTGTCCACATCATCAGGTCCCAGTAACTGAAATTCATCCATCAATTTTGGACCAGACGGTGACATTGGTATCTCCCCAGAAGCCTCTGAATCACTAGTGGAGTCCAGCTCCTGACGAATTCGTGACAAATGAGTTGAGAACCATCCCTCACTTGGAAGAAGGGCAGAATTTAAAAAGTTATTACTACTGCTTTTCTACCAAGAAAATACATTCAAGGCAGCTTACAGTAAAAAATAATGCTTGAGTATCATAAAACAAATACATTAAAACACAATTAAAATGCAACAGAAGAGAAACATCACCCAACCCAACAGACATGCTTACTAATGGCCTGCTTGAATATAAATGTCTTAACCTGCTGGTAGAAAGACAGTTGAGAAAGAGCCAATGAAATCTCCCTTAGCAGAGAGTTTCTGCAAGCATGTTAGCAGACACAAAGAACACCTTTTCCATATTGCAACCAAATATGCTGCTGAGAGAAGCAGTACTGCAAAAAGTAAATATCCAAATGGGCTTAGGACCCCATCTGGTTCCTATGGGAGAAGGTGGTCTTTCAGGTAGCCTAGTTCCAAGCTGTATAGGTCACAAGCAGCACTTTGAAACTGATGGCAGCCAATGAAACTGCTGTAACAAGGAAGCCATACTGCTCCCCAGTCTTAACCTTAAGCCTGAACGCACAGTATTCTACACCAGCTTTCAGTGTCTGCACAGTTCTGAAAGGCAGTCCCATGTAAACCACATTACAGCAGTCCAAACAGGATGTTACTAAGGAATGAATGGCTGTGGCCACATCAATCATGCACAAGTGAAAAAGCTGACCAGTAAATTAAATTTGCTGCTTCACAAGTGAGGCAATGTGCTAATATTCTTTATTTAGAGCCCCATTTTAGAAGTATTTGTTGTGGATAGGACTGAGCAGTGATCTAAGCAATGTTTACCCAATAATTTTTTTAAAACAATAACATGAAAATGAAGGACAGAATGTGGGTGGCACTGAAATTTTAGCTGCTCCTTACCTGCACTCTGATCCCATGGTAGACACAGAGCCAGAAAAGTAGCAGTGCACACAAGAACAGTGACTGAAAGAGGTCATCCAGCATTCCAGGAAACCAGCTGTTGATTAGGAATGAGAGGGGGAAAAATGGATCTGGAAGAAAACGGAAGAAAAAGTCATGAGACATCACTCTCAGACAAAGTAGTTTTCCTTTACTCCCCCCACTGCTCTCAGTTCAGGTTTGTACCAAGCACAACTGCTAAGTGTGCAACATGTAGTTTGCATAGGCCATTCCCAGAACATTTTAGTTCAGCAGTGTTCTTGAGGAGAATCTGGTGACAGGAACCCACCTACTAAACTATGGGATGGATCTAGGGTTTACTGAATGCAGGTAACAGCTGTTGGAAGCTGAGCTCCCCATTGTAGCCCTTCCGAAAGTACCCCACCAACACTCAGGGCACCTTGATGATAGGATGGCAGTGCAGGGGATTGAGGGAGAAACCCCCAAATCGGGTGGAGGAATGGCCTTGGAGTTTAGAAAATGGAAAGATAAAATTTTCATCAACAAGCTCCATAATGGCAGCTAAGGTTGATTGCGCATTTGGGATAACAACCCAGGGGAAAGTTTCCTGAGTGTGGACTAATGGACAAGGGACTGGCAAACAGAGTATGGGATTATCTAAAGATTCATAATATCTGTAAGGCTACCACCCTGTGATTAATCACTGGCCCTTTCCATTGTTTAATATGTGAATGTGGGCACTCTTTTACAGCCAAAGGCCATGATAGTAAGCCTACACGAGAACTGGCAATCGTCAGAATGTCTGTCTCTGGACTCTGAAACTCCTTTCCTAGGGAGGCTTCATAGCCCTCATCTCTAATGGCCTTCACTAGCAAGCAATATACAAACGGACAGACAGGGCTTTGGCCTGTCTTGTTGATTATGTTCTCTTGATGTTTGGTGGATGATTTTAAGGTAGCTGCATTTTTATCCACTCCTGATTGCTAGCCACTTATTGTATGTGTTCTTAATGATCTTATTTTGTTGTTTTTAATTGTTAGCCTTTTATCATTAGTTGTCTTGGACATCAGCTGAGATGAGATAAAGAAAATAATAAATGAAGCAAACAAAAAAGCCAACCCAATACTCAGTCAAGGCTGGAACATTTCTGCTAAAACAGAGGTAGGCAAATTGCAAGCCAAAACATCTGGAAGGCCACAAACATCCGTCACCTCTAGCCAGCACAGTTAATTGTGAAAGATAATGGGAACTGTAAGCCAAAACATCTGGAGCATCATTAGTAGCCAGCCCTTATACTAGATCATGCTGATGCTCAATCCACCTCTGTTCTAAAATGCAGTTAATATAACTCATTTTTCCTTTTACAAATCTCACCCCTCTGTAAAAGCAGATTTTGTACAGTGTAGTCCCAGAAACCCTTCATAGCATGACATAATTCATAAAAATACCATTATAAAGCAAAAGCAAGGGAAGGAGGATGGACATCCACTTCTGCTCTATTCCCCAATCTCGCATGGAGAACTTGCGCAGGGAGTGTGCGAAGAGACACTGCAAAGGAGCACAAAAGAAAACAGCAACACTTACACAGCACCTATTCCAAGTTGGCTCTCAAGGCAACTTGCAACGTTAAAAGATTTGAGCAATTACTGGAAATATGAAGCAAGTTAAAGATATACATAAATCAACCACGAATATTAAAATTAGAGGAAATGTCAGAATTAAAACAGCAATAAAAATATAAACAATAATGTAACACTCGTTACATTAGATAGCAAGTTTTGCAAAGATGTCTTGTGTTTCGAAGAACAGGGAGGTTAAATGAAGGGCAAAGGCAATGCAGAAAATCACCAGTCTTGTACAGTCCCACATCTGGCCCTAGAAGAACAACACTGCCACTGAATGAAAGCTTGCTCAAATTGCATCTGTGAGTGCGAGAAGGAGGACATAACGGGTGAAATCCATCCTCAGAATGACTTGCAATAGCAGGTGACTTCCTTCTTCCCCCTGCGCAGCCTCAAAATCTGCTCTACAGAGCTTGGGTATCTTCCAGAGGAGAGGAGCAACCCTTGTAGGAGCAGAAACCAGTTCACACAAAATTGGATTCCATCGCAGCTACTAAATCTACTCTACTATTGCACTTTCTTACTTTTCCTTATCATACTTCTGCATGCACTGCTTTGAGTTCAACCTATGCTTCTTGCCTCTCTCTGGTATAGGAGTATTTACCCACAAAATTGGTCAATGTGTGTCTTGTACAGTCAAAAATTCTTTGTCCGAATTGTCTTTGAGAACCTCCAGTACAAATCATTCCTATTCCAAACAGAAAAGAATGAACAGAAAAGCAAGCAGCAACAAGCAAAGCCAAACAGATGGTGGTCTATCTTAGGAAGGGAAAACTTGCCGACACTGATCTACAGTTGTTAAAGAAGAGCACAACTTACTTTTTGTATGATCTGGTCAGATTGTTCTAACCCCATGAACTCACCTTCCAGAGTGATCTTACTGTCTTATATTAAAAATAACTAGGTAGTAAACACTCACTGTGACTATGAATGTGAAAACCACAAACACAAATCGGAACCAGATTTCCACTTGTGAGAAGGTTGGGTTATAGGTTTTCCACTGGAAGAAAGAAAGAAGCATGTCAATCTTTAAAAAAAAAGGATCCAGGAATGCAGAAAGGATCAAGAGTATCTGACAGGAGCATCATAAGGGCACCTGTATGCCAGCCAGCAAAATTTACCAGCAAGATCAAATCATTTACCTCAAACCAATTCAGAAAAGTAAAGAATGATCAACCCATTCTTCACATTGAAGGATTAAGGGCAACTCACATATTATCTTTGGTCTATCTGAGTCACTTCACAATGATTACTTCCCACATCAACATGTGCAGTGCTGGCATGAGAAGTACTACCAGCATATTAACAGTAGTTAATATAATATAAATATAACAGTAGTTTGCCCTAGTACTGGGACCATCCTCAGATGCCCTGCTCCCAGCCCCACCAAATCCTGAAGTGTGTTTGGTGAAGAGGGGTTCTCATATTAACTGCCTATGCTCTGCATTTTCTCTGTATTACCAGAGTACTGTGGGAAGCATTTCTAAAAGAATGTCCATACAATGAAAGGTAATATTTGACCTGGACCAAAATTTATGGGAATTTCACAGAAACCAAAGTCAGTGAGCCTTTCCTTATGTAAATTTATAATAGCTACAGGGGCAGCAGGGAACACAAAATGCTATCCTATTTTAACTAAATATCACAGCTTACTGAAATAAGCACTTAGATGTAACATCCAGTTTCACTGAAAAACCCAATTACCCAATTCCTTTCAATGCAAATCTCTCCTGCTTGAAGCATGCTTTTCAAAGCTTGTTTCTTGCCTCTAAAGTAGCCTTCTCCGATCAGTTGTGTTGGATCCTCCGAGCTCCCAACTCCCAGCATCCTCTAACCAGCACCTGGAGGGTTGCAAGCTAGAGAGGACTGCCCTAAGACATGCCAAATGTTGTACCTGGTCAGCTCCATTAGCATTTGGAGGCCAACTAACAACATTGAGCAGAGTCAATGGAGGTGACAAATTGCTTTTCATTAATTTCTCCGATCTTCTTCCAAATCTGCACTTTAACAACACGGTTCACAAATAAAATATAAACAGTAGTTTGCCCTAGTACTGGGACCATCCTCAGATGCCCTGCTCCCAGCCCCACCAAATCCTGAAGTGTGTTTGGTGAAGAGGGGTCCTTTTCAGTGGCTGTACTTCAGCATGGAAGTCTTGCCCCTTCACACATTCAGCTGGCCCCTCTTTACAGTTCTTTCCTTTTACTGGAAAATAGTGACCCATTTACTATTGCAAAGGCAACACCAAGATTCCCCATTAAAATTGGACTTTCAGTTTCAGTTTCCTCTACTATTTACACTTACTGTAAAGTTAAAGCTCTTGATGTGGTAGTCATGGGAAAGTTTCTCAAAGGCGACAGTAATCTCATAACGTGTGTAGTTCAGGTAACCAAGATGAACCACAATAATTTCAGCACATTGCTGTGAAGACATATTGGGGGAGGATTGGCAGAGAAAGAAATTGAAAACAAAACAAAAGCATAATGACAGCATATTTACAGGTCTGAGCTTTCAAGCCATTCAGTGCTGTGTTGACCATTATAATAAAAAATGTTGTTGCTGTTCAGTCGCAAAGTCGTGCCCGAGTCCCTGTGACCCCATGGACAACATTCCTCCAGGTTCTTCTGTCTTCCACCATCCCCCACAGTACCCAACCCCACACCCACCTCTTCAGTGACCCCATCCAGCCAGCCCCTTCATGGGTCACTGTCTTGCCTCAGCGAAGGGGCTTGTGTAGTGCAATGAAGCTATGAGCAGGTGCGCCTGAGCCGGACAGGTCATAGCAGAGAGCTCTGACAAAAGGTGATCCCCTGGAGAAGGAAATGGCAACCCACTCCAGTATCCTTGCCATGAAAACCCCATGGACAGAATCATAATAAAAATAGTAACAGACTGAAGTTGTTAAGTGTTAAAAGACATATAGAAAGCAATTCGTTTTGGGGGATGGACTGCTCAATACAGAGCATGAAACCTAGCTCAGTGTTTAGCCTAACATGGTACTGCCACTTTAAAATATTCAGCTTGACATAAAGATGAACCTGGAGCTTACATCTCTGGCTGAATGGGAAAAAATACTTAGCAAGTGATTTTGACATGAGGTCAAGTGCATCAGGTCACACCCACTCAGATAAAGATTACACATTATGACTTCATTAAGCAGCACCAAACTAAATGCCTTACAATTAGGTTTTGCAGAGTAATCAGGAAATAGAAATAATTACATGCCAAGCAAAGAGTAGCATACCTCCAGGGTGTTAGAGTAAATTGGTATTATGTATACTAGCCAAACAAAGGCTTATGTCTTCAAGCACCACAAGAAATGGAAAGTACTGGGGTGATTTAATTTGGGTCCATCTTAACATCTGTTGTACTGGATCCACTCTGCTTTGCTCAATTTTCCCTTTTGGTCTAAACTGGATGTAAAGCTTTTGGGCCTTGGTTAAAACCTCACAAGAACACAGGACTCCAGGCTTTTGGTGTTCTGGAGATCCTCACCAGTCCAAATAGCTTTCAGACCCTCTCTCCTTACTGGAAATAATTTAGTTACTGGCCTTCAAGGCCCAGTACCATGTTCCTGGTTGCACGACAAGCCCAGCTGCCCAAATTTCATCCATGGTGCTCGCCCGCCACTGAAATCACTTTAAGCCATGGGAGCCAGGCAGGGCCTTGTAAAACTTCATTCCCAATCAGAACCTTATTTCTTCTTCTTGCACTGTTCCAGAATGTTTCAGACCCTCCTGAGCAGGTTGTCAGGGTACAAGGGGAAATAGGACAAGCAAAAATCAGCTTGCCTTCTGTCTGCCATCATGGTTAGTAGATCACGTTGCTTTGATTAGTAGGTGCCAGAAACAGGGCTAAGAGGTTCATACGTATAAAACACAGTCTGCAATTCAGAGATAACCCTTCCCCTCATTTTAAACTGAGAAAGAATTCATCCACCTAGCACAATTCAGTTAGCCCTTACTGAAAACTGTTTCTCAAGATCTCTCCCTGTTTCTAGAGATGCCAAGATTTGAACCTGGAACCTCGTAAGCTGCTATTCTGATTATGGCTTTCACTAACAGATATGCCCCTCCTTCACCCATTTGAAAGAGATGGGCCTACCCCTTTTTAATTCCGCTGTAAGAAATTTCACAACACACGTACCTGTGCACAGCTGAGTGTCCTTGTTCGATTGTAACTCTCCTTATTGAAGTATTTTACACTTGCATTTTCCACTACACCACGTATTGTAACTGACATATTGAAGTTTACTTTCCATTTATTATCTGAAATGTTAAAGCAAAAACAAAACACTGTAAGATGCAGGTTAAGGTATGTACTTTTCTAGTACAAGAGCAAACGTAGTAATTCAAAATCACAGATCCTACTGTATAATCCACAGTTCTATGCATTACATATATTGTAGGCTCCACCCCTACTGCTGCCTTCTATTACATTCTGAAGTTCTGTAAAGCAAGGGGTTTAATCAAGCACCTGACAAACTGCAGTCTAAGACTGGTATAGCCTCGGTGTCTACACACCATGCAGGCAAGTGATGCACATACAACCTGAGGTAGTTACTATGATATAATTAATGTAGTCAAGTATAATCCAAAATAAATTTTATACACTCTTACCATAAGGTTGATCCAACTGCACTACACATGTTAGCCATAACTGTTGATTATAAGTAGATAATGGCTGTGAACTTAAATTAAACATCCTCGCCTAGAAAAAGGTGGAAACAAAAGTTAAATCAAATTCATTAATTCATTCTTCTACAATAGCTACTACAATAGCTACTTAATCAGGAAATTAAGGCTGATGAATGAAGATTCTCCATGCACAAAACTGACTACCACCTTCCTGTTAAGTGTTAATTTAGAAAAAGGAAATGTTTTCTAATCCAAGATCAGGTTAACCTGCTTGGCAACAATAGAAAATATTTTTAAAGAGCTTTCACAAACAAGAGATCAACTGTAGGTTATTTATATAAAATTAATATAGTGTACACAAATAGGTTATTTGTGAGAACTTAGGGCAGTCAATCACGAAACATTTCAAACCCATGATTCAGTCCTTAGTCATAAGAAACATTCTAAAACTGAAGAAATCTTGAATCTTGTAAGCAAGAGGCTTTTCTGTGGCGTGAAAAGATTTGGTTGCATGGGGTTGGTAGCCTGAGTTATTGCTCATATTTAACCAGAAATATTCCATAATGATACTAGACTAGAGGAGAATTTATGAGCTCATATGAAGCTGCCTTATACAAAATCAGACAAGTCACCCAACTAGCCTAGTACTAACTCTCCTCCTAGCAGTTCTCCAGGAATAAGAACACAAGAACATGAGAAAAGCCATACTGGATCAGACCAAAGATTCATCTAGTCCAGCATTCCAAACACACAGTGGCAAATCAGCTGCCCACAGGATCCCTCAATCAGACAAAAATCTTATGGCTACATGGGATATGAAACTGAAGACACTTGGGACTGAACCTGGAAGCTGCCATATACAGTGGTACCCTGGCTCACGAACACCTCAGTTCACGACCAAATCAGGTCACGAAAAGAAATTTCATAAAAATTTTGCCGCAGGTCGCAAACTCTGCATTGGGTGACGATCATGAGCGCGCCCACCTTCCCTGCATGGGCATGATCGCGGTCATGCCAGGGGAGGAAGATGGTCACATTTGTGCTGGGGGGGGAGATGACCGCGATTACACCTGTGTTCCCTGCCTGAGCGCGCCCGTACCCGCCTCCCCCCAGCGCACCCACAATCGTGCCCGCCTCTCCCCACCCCTCCGCACGATCACTGGTGGGGAGGAGATGGCAGCGATCTTTGTTGTTCTCTTGTCACTTTGCTTCAAATTTTTGTGAGTAAAAAAAATTGTTGCAGAATGGATTAACCTTATTTACATTGGCCCTTACGGGGAAATTTGACTTGGCTCATGACCAATTTGGGTCACGACCAGAGTCCTGAAATGGATTAAGTTCGTGAGCCAATGTTCAAATACAATCGAGATATGTTAAAGATTATAAAATGTGGGTTTTTTATAAGGAATTAACAACATTTGATCAAATGATTTTAAAATCAGATTAAAAAATGATAAAAAGAATGTATAATTTTCTTTTGGATAAGAGAATGGAAGATGAACAAGTTAAGGAAACTATGATAACACGGGCACAAATTTTTGGATATAATATTGAGTTACAGAAATGGCAAAAGTTGTGGAAAAGAAATATTAAGGTACCCTTAGCAACTTCATATAAAGAAAATCTTTATAAAATGTTTTATAGATGGTACCTTTTGCCAATAGACTAGCAAAAATGTTTCCAAATATGTCAAATGGATGCTGGAAATGCAAACATAAACCTGGTACTTTTTATCATATGTGGTGAACTTGTGATAAGGCAAAAAAATTGAACTAAAATACATACATGGCTTAAGGAAATATTATAAAAATCTTTAATATTTAAACCTGAAGTCTTTTTATTAGGCATTGTGACTGATGATGTTGACAAACAAGCAACATGTCTGATTCTACATGTAATTACTGCGGCAAGGATTGTATTTGCCCAACATTGGAGGAGTGAAGAACCACCCACTGATGAACTGATTTTTAAAAAGATTCTGGACGGTGCTGAAATGGACAGGCTGACTTTGTCTCTGAAGGAGAAAGAGGATACAGGCTTCTATCAAACTTGGAACTCTTTTTATTATTGGCTAGAGAAACGGGACTATGTGTCAATTTGAATATGTCTATGGATTGTTATTAAAAAAATGGGAGGCTGACCCAGTAGGTCTGATGTCTTTGATTATTGTTTTTAGTTTTTTTTGTTTTAGTTTATAGAAAATAATAATAATAAAACTTATTTTTAAAAAAAGTTCATGAGCCAAGGTACCACTGTATAGCATGAGTTTTACCCACTTCCACATCAGCATACTATACAGATATAAAGATTGCTGCAGGAAAGGTGAAGACACTGAGATTACTGAGGTTTCATAAGACACAGCTCAATGACAATGCTTTAAAACAAAGATGGGTGGACACCCAATTCTTAGGCATTTGTGTACAAATTAGAAGCTTTGCAAAGTCAGAATGCACCTCTATAAGCACAATGTAACAAGACTTACCTTGGAAGCATTATTCAGTTGAAGTACTGTAGGAAAAGAATCAATGACATAGGGACCTGTATGACATTCAGAGACATGAGTTTAATAATTAAAAATTACAGGAATTATGGACTATATCAAGTTACAAAAGGCCCTGTCATGAATAGCAAATAGTACTTTATTTTACATATCGGATGAGGAATGTTTCTTACACAGATTCCACACAGAATTCTATAGCACAGCAGTATCTCATACAAGAGGCTAACCCTAGTTTCCAGTATCTTAAGCTACGAAACTCAAGACTCCTTATAGAACAAACAGCTCCTCACTGCCAATGTCTACAAAACCTCAGCATTCAGCACAGTATGGCTGGGTTTGCACAACATGGAAAACAACTCTGTGCTGTTTCACAAAGCATGGATGTTTACCCAAACTCACTGGTTATCTCACAGTTACCTGGGCAGTACCTTGACATGCATCCTAGCAGGTGCCACAAGCAAAATCACCATTCTTTCCCTCTTCTTGCCTATGGAGCACAGCAGCCTCCTCCTGACTGGTCTGCTGCAGAACTGATGCAGGCTCCCCCATCCTCCACCTGAGTATACCTGCATGTCTGCAGCACTTCCCAAGCACTCCAACCTCCACAGAGATTTTTATTAAAAGAAAATAGTTAGGCTGCAATTCCCCTTTCTCCCTCTGGGTTCCTCTGTCTTCAAACCAGAGGTAGAGGAATCTGCCTTTCTAGTAGAATATTTGGGTAGGGCCAGCAGGGTAAGAAAAAATTAAGGGACACAAGCATAATCTCAGTTGGCTATCCCTGATTTCCACTGTAGCTACACTGACTGTAATAGCAATCTCAATTTTCCAACTTCAAGTCCTGAGGAAACATAAATGTCCTACCCATAATGGTATCAACAGATGTGAGGTTTGGAGAAGTGCAAGCAATCTTGGGGGGTGGGGGGGAACCTTGTGGGAACCCACACAGCAAAACAGCCCCATAGGCTTGAGCCTGATCATGAAATGCTGACTGACGGCACGTACAATTGTGGGTGGGGTGTTGATGGACTCTTGAGCAGGAATCCCTCCACACCAGAACATTTGCTGCATATCCTAGTTGTGTCTTAGTAAAATCAAAGTAAACATTCTGGAATAGTTGGTTAGTGTTGCAGAATCACCTATTCCATAGCAGAGAAACCTGCATATTTTGAACCCTTGGATGACCGTGGGTGTGACTCTATAGGGCAAAGAGTGCAATGGCAAAAATGGAGCAATGGGTGGGGTTCATGGGCAGGGTTTCCATTAGTTTCTTATTCTGAGGTGGGATCAGCTACCATAATTCTAATCATTCCGGCCACTCATCACACACACACATACTGGGAAAATATATAAAGTAAGGATATGTGTCAAGCGAACTTGCTAAACAAATGCAACAGGGGGAATGAGATACAAATATGTATAGAATCTGACCTCTTAAAGAAAAGATAAAGTCCTTACCTGAAATGCCTATTAAGACAGTCAAACCAAAACAAATGAAGAAGACAACAAAAACCAGGACAAAGTGGCCCTTGGACAACGTATACAATCGCATTGGAGCTAGCCTGCAAATAAGGAAAGAAAGGACGTCAGCAGATTTCCCACAAGTACCCAGTAACAAAACTTTATGTGTTTCTTCTTTAAATATTCCCCCAGAAAACTGAAGAAAAAAGGAAACTCATCCAATGAATTGGATAAGTGTCTGTGGTATTCAACCAATTAGGTGAGCTTGTTGTCCAGGACTTCAATCATACACACTTACCTGGGAGGAAGCCGCTTTAAGCCTAATGGGTCTGTGAGAAGACATGCATAGCACTATGGTGTAATGCTCTCATTAGATTGGTGACATGCTCATTTTGACCATATACCCCACCAAGCTGCATGTGCCTTAACAGTGCTTTACATAGCAGGTACTTGCCTTTAAACAAGAGCAGTTCTGCCACCTCTTTGATGATGTTTCCCCTGACCCCCAAAAAGACTGTCTCTTGTATTAGGATTGTAAGCACAATCCTAGAGGAAAAGGTGCAAGTTATGGTACCATTACCTGTGATGTAAACACACATAGCCCTAATGCACACAGCTAAACAGATTTTAGAACATCAAAACATCTCACTGGCTTTGTGTAAAATTTGATCTTATAATTGTCACACAATCCAGAGGTACATGCACAACCTATTGTAGATTTACTTTTGACCAGTGGCAATATCTGCTGCTTCATCCAATGGTAACAAAGGCATGGATCAACATTTTCCACATGCATAGCCATAAACTGACATTGGGATTGTCCTTGAAGCAACAGAAAGGTAACAAAAATACATTAGAGAGCAGATTTCCAAACTGTGGTTGGCCTGCCACCTATACATTAACCAAACTATAAGAGGAGTAACTAACCAAATTGCAAAAGGATTACTGAAAAGTCATGCTGAATGATCATGAGCACTGGTTTTATTGTTCTGCCTACTGAAAATGCAAAACAGAAATAAAGGATTATTTTGAAGCATTTTCCTTATGTTACATTTTACTCATGAAGCAACTATATTATGCAACATATTCTGTTTCAGAGGAACAGTATGAGGAAGAGTGAGCAAACAAATACCTTTAAAAAGGTACTTCTTGGAAAAAAAAGAAAAAGAAAATAAACCAGTTAAAATAAAACAAGAAAAGGAATCTTTATGGGCAGATCACCACATTTAGCAACAAAGATGGGACTGGGAACCAAGCTGAAACAACTCTTTTCATGCCTTTCTCTGCACATGTCCCCTTCACACCATAGCTGCTACTGTTCTAGCAGGGCTTCCCGGGAGTGGGAGGAAGTGACTGCAGTATTTACAGCAGGGGAAAGATTATGCATACACGTCCCTGCAAGTCATCCCCCAGAATGCAAGTAAGTACACTCACATCCCACTCTGTGACAGACACTCTTTCTTCCCCCTAACATGGACAGCGAATAAGATCCAGTGTGGTATTGTATAAGGTCACACACTGCTTTCTACTTAGAGACAGCAGAAAAGGGAGATGAAAGGCTGAAGCAAAGGTGTGCACAAGCTGGTGACCTGTTCCTTTTTCATACATACAAAGCCAGAGTTAGAAGAGAAGAAAATGTCACTCAGACCAGAACCTCCAGTCAGCCTCGTCCATGCAATCCAGACTGCAGTGCTCAAAACCACAGGAGTATGTGCACTGCAAGAAGGCCTTACAGAGCCATCTGCTTCAGATCTGTCATGCAAGCCAGCCAAGCTGCAGCGAAAGGTGAGGTATGGGGAACCATATGCACTCACCAGGGTCACAGGCCCATCCAATCCAGAAAAAAATATTCTGCCCAGTGAGTATTACACTATGAGCCCAACACATCCACCAAGTCATCCCTGATTTACCTCTGATGCAACAGTCCTAAAGGGAAAGACGTCTTAACCCCATCACTCAGCAGCATCAGAGGAGGAGAGAGAGAAAACAGATTTAAAGGAGGAGAAGAGAAGAAAACTCTCTAGAATTAATTCAGGGCATATAGTGCAGTAAAGTGTGACTTAGCATTCCCATGCCTGTCCTGGACCATTTCTGTTTAGGCAACACAGTGCAGAAATATTTTTGGAAGGTTAATCATCATAACCAAGTATGAAGTGGGCAAATTCTGTAAAGGGAGTCACAGCCTTCGCAGCCCTGAGCAGGGCTGCCAAGGGCAGCACATTTTGGAGGGCTCTCATTCACAGGGTCACCATAAGTCAGAGACAGCTCGATATCATGTAACAACAGCAATCATCTTAAAGCACAATCCTATGCATGCTGGGGAACTACAGCCCTTGTTTCTGCCTAAGCATGCATAGGATTGTGCACCAAGTGTGTTACAGCAAAAACTACAAAGCATCTGATAGTAGGCCAAAAGTGAATAAAAAACAAAGGCTACCATGGCAGTCCCTGAAGGAAAAAATCCAAAATCCATACTTAGTAAGTACCCAACCAAGACAACATAAAAGATGGTGCACACTTTCAAGTTCTAGAACTCTTCAATAGGCTAGGTGGCATAAAAAAAACAGGCAGTGGAGACAGAAAGTCCCACCCCCCACACACATTTGGGTATATGTTACAGCCATGAGGTCCAATGTTTAGATACAGTCTCAAAAGGAAGAGACTAAATTACTTTGTCTCTGGCATAGACAGGTGTTGCAGGTATCAGATTATGCCTAGCATTTTGGAACCAAGAACCTACACTTGACACCCATTCAGGATGAACAATTTATTATGACATAAGCTTTCATGAACTATAGTCTACCTCTACAGACACAGAAGTCTGTCCTGAAACAAAAAAGGTCATCAGCTTTAAGCCTTGGAGGAAGCAATTCTATGCCCCCTCTGATCCCCTTCCTCCACCCCCTTGCAGCTGGAGGTCCAGAATGCAAGCTTGGAGGAAAGGGGGATGTACTGGTTGGTGGGATAAGAAAGAGACTGAAGAGGTGAGGACATGAGTTAACATAATGCTACTCCAGCCTCTTACCCTTCAATTCTGAAATTCAATCAGGTTTACTTCTCATGCATCTGAATACAAGTTACTGGAAATCAACCATGAGAGAGGGGAGTTGTGGACTTCCCAGAGGCCTCTGTCTGGCCACCCTGAAAAACAGAAGGCTGGACAAGATAGGCCTTTGGTCTGATTCAGCAGGGTTTTTCTTATGTCTAAAGTATTCAAAGCACTTGACATAATTATGTACTTGTAATCCTTAAAATAAGCCTGAAAGGTAAGTCAGCATTATTAGTCCCCATACTGCAGGTTGGAAGCAAAACGTCTGCTGAGACCACCACCACAAATCCAAGGAGATTTGTGCAAGCAAGAATCGTGCAAGCAAGATTCAAACCAGAAACTTCCTGATTTGTGGATCAGCCTCTTAGCCACTAAATAAACTTTATGTAAAGTTTGCAGAAAGCTTAAAGACACTACATAATGCTATATATTATTCAATTCTTGATGAGCATATCAAGAGCCAGGAAACAATCCACTGATGTTGCCCTCACCATGTTGGTAGGTCATGCTAGAAGTTGTTGTCCTATTGACCTGAAGGGCATGAGGCTGAGGAAGGCTGTTCTCATGTTAAAAGGGGTGCATTTATGTCTATTCATTGCTTTTGATAATAAAAAGGACATTAAGCCAACTTCTTCCTTGACAAAAAGATCACATGCAGAAAATATTGGGAGATCAAAATCAGAACCACCCAACATTCAGCAAACTGAGATGCTCTTGTCTAAAACCTCTGCAAACAACAAACCTTCAACCAGGCAGTTATACTAAAACCTCTTGAACCATTCATAAGTTACAAAGAAACAAGGGTATGGAAAAGCACAGGTATGATACATTTCTGTTTCTCTGTGTTCTTTATCATATCAATTGGAACATACAAGTTTCAGCTGCAGGAAGGTACTCTTCAGGGACTCCATCCTACTTTAAAAGCTCCTGGATTTCTTAAAGGACAAAGTCTGCAACTACGTTTCAGGTGCAAAAGGTCTGTGCAGTAACATTTAAACTAGCTTTTGTATGACAATGTAACTTAGCCAGCACTGTAGGCACATTTACACCCATTGTTCAAATCTACACATCCCAGCATGGTTTGGTGGTCTTGTGAGGCAAATCACTCTCTTCATCACGCATTCTCACTAAAGCAAAAAATAGTAAGTCAAGATGCAGCACAATACAACCTGATACAATACAGAAAATGATCCTAATGGTTTGACCAGTAAATATTTTATTTATTTAACAGTTTTATAGAATGAGTGACAGCTCTCAGAATGGTGAACAATCTGATATCAAAAAGATGCTCAAAAATGCATCCCCCTCCCACCTTATTAATAAAGAGAAAGAAAGGGAAAGCATTCCTCAAGACTTCATCTCTAGAATTAACTCAAAATCTCTGTAGAAATGACACTCACTGTCCTGAGAATCCTTATCCTTACAGAAGTTGGGAAAGGGCTAACGGGGACTAAGAGTCAATGTGCATTTCTCACATGTTCAGGGGAACTATTACTTTCTAGTTTAGTTGTGTCTTTGAAAACCTGCATTAGGGTTAAATCCGGGCTCAGCTCAGTCTAGACGCGAGGGTATAAAAGCTGGTGCGTGTGTGCGTGTTATGGGAACGGGGACAGGCATGCTCTGCTTGTGAGCTTTTGGCTGGCCATGGTCGGAAACAGTCGCAGGGTAGCGCGGCTTCAGCCCTGTACTCCCCACCAGCCTCACTGAGCAGGACAAGAGAAAAGGCACAGTTCCGTCACTGCCTGTGACCAAGCATTACAAGTCCCAGCCCATGGGTGGGGTGGGGACGTAATCACTAAGCAAGCCGGACTAGTGAGGATCAGTCGCCGGCCGGTCCGCAATTTTGGCAGCGGCGCGCCAGCCTCCTCGCACGCGCTCCCCACTCGGCGACACGCGCTCAACCTGCTGGCCCACGCAGACCCCGCGCCCCTCAACTCACATGCTTATTTCCATGCTGCACATGCGCAACGCGACGCCTCAACTTAAGCAGCGAGTCTCCTAACCCGGCGGCAGCCGCACCTCTAAGCGGATCCGTAGCAGCATTATCCGCGAGGCAACCACACTTCCGCGTGCGTCACCCGGCGCACTAGCCCCGCCCCAAGGCGCGCCGGAGGGGAGCACGTGATCAGGGAAGGCGCGCCAAGAAAGGCTCCAGCAAGGGAGCCTTTCCCTGTGGGAGCGGGGAGGGTGTGCGCCTGCGCATTACTAGGAAGGGCTTCCGCTTAGTTGGCAGCGCGGGGACTGTGCGGGAGGAGGCACGGAGAGTGTGGAGGGGCCGCTTCTCTTTGCTGTTTGGCATCCTCAGGCCGTTATACGAGACCCAGGAGGCGAGGATGCCGAGCGAGCCCCCAGCTTCCCGCAAGGGGACCTGGACGCTGTAGGGCTTTCGTTCTGGCGCCACCTCGCCTCCTTAGCAAGGCCTAGGGCAGGGAGAAGCTGGAGGTTTCCTTTGTAACTCAGAGCCGCCTTCAGGCTCTTGGAAAACATGAGCAATGCCGGCCGTTCTTGGACACTATTCACAGGTTTTTGCTGTAAATGTTAAATCAACTCTGACTTAAGGTAACCTTGTGAATGAAAGCCCTCCAAATATCCTGTCCATGACAGCTCCATTCAGCTCTTCCTAGTTCAAGTCTGTGGCTTCCTTTATGGATTCAAGCCATCTCATATTTCCTCTTCCTTTTTGTCTTCTGCCTTCAACTTTGCCTAACACGATAGTTTTGTCATTTTGCTTCTAGGGAAAGCTCTGGAACTTGTATGTCTTTCTGTCAGTCCAGGGTATAGCAATGCTCTCCTTCAGCATCATGTTTGAAATGCATCAATTGACTTCCCTTCAGCTTTCATCTCTGTCCAGCTTTCACACTCATACATAATAATTGGGAATACGATAGGATGGATGATCCTGACTTTGGTCTTCAGTGAAACATCCTTACAATTGATTATCTTCATTACTGCCCTTCCAGTTCTCAGTTGTCTGAGTATTACTTGGCTTCAGTCTCTCTTTGAATTGATGATGGAACTGAGGTGTGTGAAATCTTTCATAATTTGGATGTCTTCATTAACAGTAAAGTTCTGTAATTCTGTGAACATGATTTTTGTTAATATTCAGCTGCAGTCCTGCTTTTGTACTTCTTTCATTTAGTTTTCTTTACAGAGGTCATAGAATCATAGAATAGTAGAGTTGGAAGGGGCCATGAAGGCCATCAAGTCCAGCTCCCTGCTGTTTCAGGACACCAGTTTACACCATCCCACTCAGATGACTGACCAGTTTTGCCCTGAATGTCCCTAGTGTGGGAGAGTCCACCTCCTCTCTAGGCAGCTGGTTCCACTGTTGTATTGCTCTGACAGTGAGGAAGCTTTTCCTGATGTCCAGCCTGAATCTGGGTTGTTGCAACTTGAACAGATTATTCTGTGTCCTACACTCTGGCATCAGCCAGAGGTGTCCGTACAAAAAAGCAAGAGAGGTCCTGATGCCAGCGATGCAATGCATTTTGTTACCACAAGACTGGATGATGGTTAACACCTTAAACTGTAATCCTATACACAGCATTCAGGTGTAATCCTATGGATGTTAAGAAAAGTCCTACAACCCCAGTATTCTTCAGACAGCCATGCTACACAGTGTAGAACTTTTTATTTTTGTCTATGCACTGGGTTGTATCTTTAACTTCACAGAAAGCCGCACTGCATTTCTGAGTAGACATGCATAGGCAGTGATATAGCTATGCATTTTGAAATACAGGTGCTTGTCATGATAACCCCTGTATCAACCTCTCAAATGAGAGTTCAAAAATGTAGGTAGCTGTTTAGATTCATATTGCTAATATTCATCTCAGCTAACAGCAGACCTTTTATCAAGCTAATGGGTTTTAATTGTCTATTGAAGACCTGGTCACCTCCAGTTAAAATTGCTGCTGGGAAAGTTTATTTCCCCAGCTACTGTGAAGACTGCCGCTAAGCTTGGAGTGAACCATGCACAATTCCTTTAAGATTCAGACTGAAACCAAAGTAGGAACACTGCCACCGACCTCCACTGCCTACAAGACTGATTTGGGATTCAGGGCAAAGAAATCCGTAATGCAATGAACACCACTGGTCAATTGGATTTAGATTTAGACATATGTTTTCTATAAGACAATAGGTATTGCTCAACAATGCATAGGCACAGACAACAATTGAATCACTTTTGACCTACCCAAGGCAGGCTCAGGTTATGCAACTTGTTACCCCAAGAATATTAGGCATATTACCTGAAAATGGAACCTTCCTGTTCAAAGGTCATAAATTCTTATTAGCAAATGCAACTGGAGATGTACCATGTTGTGGGGTTGGCAGTAGGGTAGGGGATGCTATCTCCTTCATGGTCTGTTGTGAGCTTCCTAGGTGCATTTTGATGACCACTACTAAGGAAAACGCCTAAGACCAGCCTTCCTAACCTGTTGCATGCCATGTTTTGGACTACAGTGCCCAGCAACCCCACATGGCATGGCCAGTGGTCAAGGATGATGGATCTATAGTCAGAACATGGAGGATACCAGGTTGTGGAAGGCTTCAATCATATACCCAGTTTCCTGAGAGTAAGGACTTTATAGACTAAAGCAAAGCTTTTGCCTGTGTGGCTCATGAGAAGCTATGGATGTGCCTCAACATTTGATTTTCCTGACACATGATTTTTATATTGCCCAAGAAGCTACCATTAGGACAGTATATGGAGAAACAGAATGGTTTCCCATAGGCAAAGGTGTCAAGTAAGGATGTATGTTACCTCTCTATCTGTTCAATCCGTGTGCAGAACAAATCTTAAGGAAAGCTGGATTAGAATCAGAGGAAGGAGGAAAAATTGGCAGAAGATGCACAAATACTTTAAGATGTGCAGATGATACTATATTATTGGTAAAAAGCAGCAATGACTTGAAACAACTTCTGATGAAAGTGAAAGAAGAAAGTACAAAAGCAGACTGCAGCCAATATTTAAAAAAATAATCAAGATTATAGGAGAAATACAACTCTTTAATGTCAAAAATTAAGAAATTGAAATTGTGGAAGATTTTACATACTTTGGCTCAGTCATCAGATCAAATGGGGGCAACAATGAAGGAACTGAAGATTATCCAGTGTTAAGGATGTTTCAGTGGAGACCAAGGCCAAAATCAGCCACATTATTGTATTCCCAATCACTGTGTAAGAGTGTGAAAGCTGAACAGTGAAGAAAACTCACAGGAAGAAAATCAATGCAATCAAAGCTTGGTACTGGAGGAGAGATTTGCAAATAGCCTGGACTGAGAAATGAACAAGCAGATCCTAGATAAAATCAAGCCAGAGCTTTCCCTAGGAGCAAAATGACAAAACTGAGGCTATCATACTTTGGGCACATCATAGAAGGCAAAACTTCCTGGAGAAGACAATCATGCTAGGAAAAGCTGAAGGCAGAAGAAGAAACGGAACACCAAATATGAGATGGTTTGACTCCATAAAGGAAGCCACAGCTTTGAGTTCACAAGAGCTGAACAGGGCGGTTGTGGATAGGGCTTTGAGGGCTTTCATTCACTGGATCACCATGAGTTCAGAGCTGGTCTTTGACCAAAATAAAGTCAGTCAGTCTGTCTGTCTGTCTATTTATCACCATGAGTTAGAGACAATAGCGTATAACAACAAACTAAATGGGACTTACCTCTTGGTATGCATATATAGGTTTGCAGGGCAAGTAAGCTAAGCAATTCTTATTTTCCTAAATCCCTTTGTCCCAGAGAAATGAGATTAAGAATCCAATCCTATGCATGTTTAGGCAGAAGAAAGTACTACAGCTCCTAGCACCCCTGAGAAAGCATGACTGGCTGGACATGGTGAGAGTTGTAGGAATTTTTTCTGTCCAAGCATGCACAGGATTGTGCCCTAAGCCTACAATTCTACTAGCACTTACTATGGAGTCAGCTGCATTGAGCACTGTGAAATTTACTTCTCAGTCAACATGCAGAGTATTTTGTCCTTAGATGAGGTTTAGTGTTATTGCATAAGGCTGGATAAAATTCTTATTTCGTGGAAGATAGTAAACACACTCCCGTATTTAGTGGAGTTGTTTTCAACCAATAGTGCAAGATTTTTCAACATTTTTTTCTAGAGTCTGAAAAATGTAAAAGAACTGTGTGCATGAACCACAAAATGAGGTAAAATTCTGTGCAGATCACAGAGCTCACAGTGCATTGTATCTATGTGAGCCAATTAATTCTAGTTCGAGTTGATAGAATTCTACTCTAGAGAGAGTAATGGGTCTCTTGCCTCTGGCTTAGAAGAACAACTTTCTCGTGCAAAACTGAGAAAATTTCCCAAGGGTTTGTCTCCCTCATATAAGGGCCAAATCAATTATTTGAAGGAAAACAATATAGGCAGCAGAAGACTCACCTCCCTGGTTTAGGGAAGAGCACGTACATTGCTCTTGGATCCTGAGACATTATGGGAAAAGGTGGAGGCCTGATTATTTCTGTTATATCTACCATGTCATGACAAGAGATTGATTTTTTTGGAGAAACCTCCCAGCTTTTCAATGTGTCCATAGAAAATAGATTTTTAAACAAATGAGGAGAATGTGAATGGAAACAATTACTAAAGCAATTATTTCTTGCCTTCTTAAATAGCCCCCGGGAACAGCCAGGAGCCACTCACGTGGTTAAAGTCGTCCCTCCTTTCCCACCAGCCATGCTGAAGCCAAGGCGACAGTGGCCGCGCTAATGGGATCAGCCCAACCTGCTGCAGCAGCAGCGCTCCAGCGGGGAAAGCCCCCCTCGCCGCCCGCCCTCCCCTCAAGAAAAGTGGAGGCGATTTTGCGGGACACGCAAAGGAGGCGCCCCAAACAGTTCCTTACCATTGAAGGGCCCCACTGACGTGGAGACGGGCGATCGCTCTTAATCTTAAAAAATAATAAATGCTGTTTTCAACCTCCTCTTTCTAATCTGCACAGAAAGCGTTGGGGTGGATTAAAGATGTAACAGGTCAATGGCATAGGCCCAGCGACAGCGACGCTGCAAACGGGGGGAGGGCTATAAAAGCCCCCCCCCCC